TCAGCAAACATATCTACATGACATAAATAACTGCAGGTTTTATCTAAACACAATCTGCCCTAGATAAGTTTGACTCCTATGATCGTGTTTTTGGGATTCCTTACCAAAATGTGCTCGCACTACCATTTGTTCAAAATACCACAGCGAATCGCAGCACTACCAGTCATGCATATTCTCTTTCTAATTTCGACTTCAATACATGTTTAGAGCAAAATTTTAGAATCAAGGATTCTCCTGTTGGAATAATTAACACCAAAAGGCTTGTAATTGCATATTCCTAACTAAGTCTTTGAAAATAATTACGTGGACAATGAATGAAGGTGAAAGAACCAAAATCAAAAACTTGTGCAGGGAGGAACAAATACCTGGGAATTGGTGCATATTAGTCGTGGAAGCTACTAAAATATCTCTGCTCCTTCACCGCGTTGGTATTTCTCCGTCGGTTATCAATCAAGTCATGAAAAATTGTGAATGACTTCTTATCATCCCTGCAATATCAATAGCTCAGGGGTAGGTATCTCAGCAAGCAGGCAGCCACAATGACACAATACAGTAGGTGAAATATGAATATGAATTCATGATTACTTACAAAAAAAAGTAGGGAAAGACAACATTAAAGGGGAAGCTCATGGCTGGTGTGTTTTCGTAGCTCTATTTGACATATTGTCATCTGTTCCCCAAGACACCCTTAATGCATTACCTTATTGGGTCATTATCTACAGTTTTCGGCAGGTGAACCCTTTTCACTAAAACTAATAGAACAGCGTATGAATGAATGAATGAATGAATTACCAATTCAATTATGATAGATAGAGATACAAAGGTCTCAGTCTTAATTGTTTTGCAGGTGAAGGAAAAAACACCACCAGGAACTCATCGACTCTCGCTACAACTCCAATTCCCTATCATGCTGACTTTTGGGTCATAAGGGGAAGAAAACTCATGAAATGAAATATAGCACCGACGGATTTGGGGGATTAATGGAACTGCAAAAAAAGAAAAACAGACTTATATAAGAGAAATAAATCACCTGAAATCAAAGACAGTTTCCAGGTCTGAATCTTCTCTGGTTCCTCTCCAGACCTCCCAAATATGCTCCTTGAGGCTTCCAACTCCGCCTGTGTCCAAAGAAACCCACCAGCTGAAAAACTCCAACAACAGCAAAATACTGGATCACATACGTCCAGTATCCTGATTTTGTTGGCCTTCCCCCAAATTGATGAACGAATTTCTAACTGTGAACTCGCTGCTACCTCCTTCAAATCAGTTAAACAAATGCTTTGGGGAAGAGAGACAAAAACATCGAATCGATTGGAGATGGAGAGATGAACGATCATCTAACCACACAATCCTAAAAATATGGGACATAATCCACCTAGGAGCTCTAAAAGCCGTCATTTGATTGCTCCGAGCTCCGATGGTTAAAAAAAAAAAGATTAAGGAAATACGTGTGCGAAGAAAAGGGAACATGGACATGAGATCTTAAAGAAATAGATTGGAAATTAAATTGAAAAGGAGAGATCTCACCCTTTACCTCTTGTGCAGTCGTCATATAGACGCTTGTTGTTCTCATTTCTGCTTCCTTGGAAGGCGCATATAAGATTGCTCACAAGTCTTAGGTAACCAGTTCGCGGAGCGAGAGCGGGAGCGTGAGCGAGAGCGTGAGAGCGTCTATTTTAGAAGAATTCAAAATTGAGAGCGTGATGAGAGCGTCGATATATGTTTAAGTTAACATATTATGAATTATATGTACATAATACAAATACATAATTAAATATTTAAGTTGCATGGTTATTACTTATTAGTTTCATTGAAAGAAATTTATCCCAATTCCAATGTTTTCTTTTTTTATGCAAAAATTTCAAAGTCTTAAAAGAGAAATCAAGCGGATAACTCAAAACTAAAAGCAATTTGATGATACATGTGGCACAAAGAAAAAAGAAAACCACAAAGCCAACTCTTCATCTTCCTTGTTAACTCCGCCTTTCTCTCTATTATCAGTTCCAAACTCTGCAACTCCATTATGTATCTTGTTTCCGATTTTTTGTTCCTTCAAATTCTGCTTCTGTTCTGTTCTTCTTCTCTGTAGAATTTAGGGAGAAAGTATTGCTCTTTCCTCGAGCTCTTCTTCCAGTCTCATATGAGGTTGGTTTTTTCACAGCCAGAGAACAACCTCTGCATATGTCGCTGACCCATCGTTCTTTGATTTCCTCGATTTTAGAAGCCAGATTTTGGGGAAGGTATTAACTTGTGCAAATTAACGATTTCCTTCCCAATTCATAGCTAGCTATTGGTCAGTTTCAAGCTTAGCAATCTGAATTTCAGGATCCGCGCTCTATCCCTTTATAATTCGCGCTCCGGATAAATATAAGTCGCGATTTTCTTACGATTTGTTTTTGGCGCTCTGGCGCGGGAGCGGCACCCCTACACCAACGAATTAGGTAACCTAACTCACAACTTAGGTAACCAGCTCGTGAAGCGAGAGCGGGAACGGGAGCGAGAGCGAGAGCGAGAAAGCGTTTAGTTTGCAGAGACTTCTAATTAAGAGCGTGATAAGAGCGTTATTATTATATTATTATAATTAATTTTGAATGGTAAAAATATTTCGATTATTCCTAAGTACAACAACAAAATTTATCCCAAAAAAAGTACAACACCCAAATCATATAAAGTAGATCAATTAACTAAATCATTCACTCACTTCATCCAATTCAAAATATTTGATGTGGAGATGAATGCCATTTCTCCTTTTTTCCTTATTAATTGTTGTGACCTTAGATAATTTTGAGTGGTGAATAACATATTTTATTGGTAGAAAATGAACGTTTTCTTTGACAAAAGGAAGATGCCTTTTTTGAATTGTATTTTATTTCCCCAGTATCACTATAATAAATTATTTACTAAGGTGTGGTGACAGCGCACAGCCGCACACACAAACCAAGACCAGATTAACCCAACAGGCCTAGGGCTGCAAATGAGCCAAGCCGCTCGCGAGCAACTCGGCGTTCGAATCGGAAAAAACTAGTTCGACACTCGAGTCGTTATTTACAAGCCGGCTCGCGAGCCAACTCGTTAGTTAACGAGCCAAGCCTGAGCTAGACCATGCTCAGCTTGATAAGCTCGCGAGCTAGCTTGATTCGGTGGCTTGTCGAGCTAAGCTCGCGAGCTGCCTTGTTTTGAGCTTGTGAAAGGATGAATTACTCTTTTAAACATGAACATTGTCTTCTAATATAGATGTGTATGAAATTTAGATGTTATTTATAGTTTCTAGTGTTCTTTCTATCATTTAAATCTTATGTTTATACATTTTTCCAGCAAAAATGATTATAAATCGAGCTCATCTTGAGCCGAGCTTGTACTCAGCTTGACAAGCTATGTTAATGAGCCTTTATCGAGCTCTACCGAGTTGTGCTCGAGCTAGATTATTTTTATTCAAGCCGAGCTCGAGCTCGAGCTGGATTATCAAAATTCGAGTTCGAGCCGAACTCGAGCTGAAAAATTAATAAACGAGCCGAGCTCAAGCTAAGCAAAAACTCAACTCGACTCGGCTCGTTTGCAGCCCTAAACAGGCCATCATCTATCTTTAATCTTTATCCTTTTCATTCGTCTGTTATTTTCCCTTCCTCTTTTCTCCTCTCGACCGCCATTTCTAGATAAGCTTTCTGATGTTCTGGCGGAAATTGGTCGTGGAGATTTATTTGGTTTCATTTGGATCGAGTCAGATCTTTTCTTATCGCAGTCGAGGACTTCGGAGGCGAGCCTCATCTGGAGCTTCAGCGACACCATGGTTGTCCTCTGCTTCCTTTCTCTCCCTCTATTCTACAGCAGCTATGAACTGCGCTTCACTATTGTTCATTATTTGTCGATTTTGAACTTCTTTCCCCCTTCCCGTACTTTGATCTCTACTCTCGAAGTTCACTAATCACTAGTTCGCAACCAAAACGAGGATAGAAATTCCCAAAGCGATCGCAGCCCACAGTGCCGCACTCATCACCTCCCTAATTCCCTTTCTTTTTCTGCCCCAAGATCCAGATCGCGCTCCCCAAATAATAAAGCGCGCTCTATAGAAAACTAATTCGCGAACTTCCTGCGGATTCCATAAAAATCGCGTTTTGGCGTTTAAGAGCGGGATTGCCGAGGTAAGGAAGGCGAATTGGGTGACCTAACTCACAACTCACAATCTTCAACCGAAGCTGAGAGGAAAACCGCCGGCTGAAATCCCAGCCACGTCAGCACACCGAAAATCACTCTAAAAGCAGGATTTTTTGAATGGTGGTGGCAGTTATACGTTTCCACTATAAATTATACTGTTGATACATATATATAGTCTCTTAACCCTAGCATTCACAATCCACTACTAGGGCTTAAACACCATCGGCCACCTCTATACTGACCGATCCACACATGGGCTTAAAAGCCCAAGACTAAACCCGCTAACACCATCGTCCTTCCTTCTCCCGAGTCCCAACCTAGATTTCCTATTTGTGCCTCGCATCCCCTGTTTTATCGCCGTCGCCTTGCGGCCATAGAACCCGACGTCTCCTCTCATTTCTCACACTCTTTTTCCAAACCTCCACCATTACTAATAAACTTTTCTGTCTCCGTAATCCATTACTTTAAAAGTCAAAACACAAATCCCCAAAGTCGGCAACAGAAGAACGGTGGCGAAAAGCACAACAATAAGTCAGCGACACAATTCCCTTTATGTTTGGACTTACCAGGTCGAAAGATATCTTTTCGGCCACATTGCCACAAGTTGACAACAAAGAACATAAAATGCGGCAAGATGCTTTCAAGTTCACTTCAAGGTTTTTGTTCCCAAACCAACTGTTCAACCTCTGCGTTGGAATCGAAGTAATGGTGAAGCGGGAAAAACAGAGGAGTGTCGAAAACAGAGTATATATAAACCACCTCTCTGGATCTCTCTTCTTCACTCTCTCACTCACCTATTCATGAACATAGTAAAGCTAATAGAAGTAGAAGAAATACCATTTCCAAAAATGCTTTCTCCTCCCCCCTCCGATCATACACCAAAAACAGTGGATACTCTGTTTTCTTCAGCCTCACTTCATCTGCAGAGGCAAAAAACCCGCATTCACAACTTCTTCAGGAACCAGAACCCAGAAACCCAGCCACAGCAAGATTCTTCTATTTCAGATGTTATCAGAATTGCCGCAGAAAAGTTCATAGATTCTACTATTGAACCCACCGACCCACCATCTGGAAACTCCGACGACGTCGAACTCATATACCACCTTCTGCGTGCGGCCGATGAATTGGATCACAAGCAGTACGAGCAAGCGACCCACTTCCTCGACCTCTGTGATTCCTCGTCTTCCAAGACAGGGAATCTCGCACAGAGAATCACCCACTACTTCGTCCAAGCTCTTCGCGAAAAGCTCCGTAACGAAACTAGCAGCGGAGCGCACTTGGTAGCCTATCTCATGAGCGAATTCCAACGATTGAAGGTCGAAGAAACAATTACTGCTATATCCCCTATAGTCGCGGTCTTGCACGAGAAAATCCCCTTCTTCCAAGTCGGTCAGCTAGCCGGAGTTCAAGCAATCGTGGAAAGAGTCGAGAAAGCGAAAAGGATTCACATAATCGACCTCAGAATCAGAAACGGGATGCAATGGACGGCCCTGATGCAGGCTTTATCAACCACAGCCAAAGGAGAACGACGTCCTCCTGGTTCTCCACAGATTCTGAAAATCACAGCCATCGTCACCATGTCTGAAAATTTGGTACGGGGAACAGGGGAAAGGCTAGCGAAGTTCGCCGAGTCCATGAATATACCCTTCTCATTCAAATCCGTAGTGGTATCAAGCTTGACCGAAATCGACGAGGCGCAATTCGACCTCAATCCCAAAGAAACCGTGGCTGTTTTCAGTGAGTACGCACTACAGGGTCTCGTATCGGAGCCGAATGAGTTGGAGGCACTGATGGGGTTTATGAGGAAAATCCGTCCCAGCATAATGGTTGTGCTTGAATCAGAGGTGAACCTCAATTCCTCTGTCTTTGCTCACCGGTTCGTTGAAGTTCTGTTCCATTACGGGGCATATTTCGATTGTGTCAATGCCTGCCTGGAATCATCGAGTGGCGGGGAGAGGGGTTTGATTGAGTCGATGTTCTTGAACAACCATGTGAGGGAGCTTTTGGTGAAGGAAGGGGAAGAGATGGCGAGGGTCGTGACGGTTGATGTGTGGAGGCAGTTCTTTGGGCGGTTTTTTATGTGGGAAGTGGAGTTGAGTTCGTCGGCTATGGAGACCGTGAATCTGTTGCTGGGGAGGTTTGTGGGCGGCAAGTATTGTACGTTGGACGCTGATGGTGGGAGTTTGATTGTTGGATGGAAAGGGACGCCCATTTTCTCTATTTCCACTTGGAAGTTCCTCCATTGAAACTTCGTTGGCATTGGAGTTCCCCCTCTGTTTTCTTATGTGCGGTGCCATTGAATGAAGGCTCCATTTCATTTTATCAGTTGGTGGGCTTAATTGCAAGTTTGGTCACTCGAATTGCTATAAAATTTCTGAATGTCTAAACATCGTCCTAATTTTACTGTTATCGCCCTAACTTTAAATATAAAATTACTAAATTAACCTTAATAAACCCAACAAACACACAGCCCTACAAATTCAAATCCCTAATTACGTTTCATCTCTGCCAATGAGGGCGGCGGCGTCCCTCCCCCACCTACGTTGGCCACCTGTCCTGTCATCGTCGGACTCCTCCCGCGGCAATCCCTCCAATGTGCTGCCGCTGTTCAACCTCGGTTCATCTAACTGGAGATGGAACCTCCTTCACCAGTTGGCTTCATTTTTACGTGGCCGACTCCGCTCTCCTTGTTATTAGTTCTTTGATGCATTGAGGAACTTTGAAACCCGATATGTCAAACATAATTGAAGATCTTTATTGCTTTAAGTGATTAGAAGGTAGGTGGACGTGGTTTGTCTTGGAGGGTGGTAGTGGTGGCGACGGGTGGAGGTGGTAGTAGCTAGATTGTTGTGTTAGAATAAAAAGTCTCGACAATTATAAAAGGATATAAATGTAACTTTAGTTAAGGGCGATTATAAAGTTAGGGCGACAATTAGCAATTCCCTAAAATTTTACGTTTGCCACTCAAATTATTTTATTCCATTTATAGTCACTCGAAATAGTTGAACAGTTCAAGTTCGATCACTCTCCGTTAACCTCCGTTAACTTTGACTGACGTGGCGGTCAACTCTGACCGTTGACCGTTAAATGTGTGACGTGGCAAATAAAAAATAGTTAAAAAATAAAAATTAAATTTTTAGAAATTACACATCATTATCACAAAAAAATTATAATTATAAAAAATGAAAAAAAGAAATTTGAGGCGGACTCTGTACGGGATGGACGCGTCCAGATCGATGTAGTTCCACGCGCGCTGTAACAAAAACCACCGCTCCTCCTCCCCTATTTTCCCCTGCCTCCGCCTCTGCCGCGTTCTCTACCTCTGCAAGCCGGAAATCCCCTGCTTCAACATAGCCTCTCTCCTCCCAACTCATAAACATGCGTTCTCCTCCATCCCTCTCAACAACTGTCAGATCAGAAATTAGTGGAGGAAGAGGGCGAGCATCAGCTAACAACGTTCTGGCCGGTGCCTGCTCCGCCGTCGATTTCGAAGATCACAACATCTCCCCTCTCGAACAGGCAAAAGAATTCGCTCCCCTAAACCCGACTGCCAAGCAAGGGTGGCCCTCCAAGTAGCCACAACTGTATCTCTTCCAGAAGCGACCACCACGCCGGTAAGTATTGAAAGTAGCCCCGCCACCGGCGCTGGCGACGAGGATGGTCCACTCGATGGCGGCCGGATCGCTCGTCGGCGGCGCGGAGAAGCCGGCTCTGATACCCCTGGGCGAGGAGTCGGCGAGGGATGCGGGGAGCAACGGCTCAGATTGATGTAGTCCGTTTCTTCTCTGGCCATCCGATCAGAGAGAACAACACCAAACCTCCTGAAAATCTCGTCGACGACTCCAGACGGCGGACCCAATTGACGGACGAACAACGGCTCCAGCACAGCTCTCATCCCTTTCGCCACATTGCAGGCGCGATCTTGTAACCCTTCCGGCAACTCCGGTTCACCGTCGTGCGCATTCCAGCTCGATTCCCAAACCTTCAACCGATCAATCACGAAGGCGCCATGTTTACAAACTTGATCTTTTCAGGAGGTTTGGTGTTGTTCTCTCTGATCAGATGGCCAGAGATGAAACGAACTACATCAATCTAACCGTCTCCTTGACCAAGCTCTGATAATTAGAAACTAAGCTCGTGCACAGCCGCTGCCGGGAGAAACGGCTCTAATTACCGTGGAAGGAATTTCTTTTTATTTTTATTTTTTTATAATTATAATTTTTTGTAATAATGATGTGTAATTTCTAAAAATTTAATTTTTATTTTTTAATTATTTTGTATTTGCCACGTCACACATTTAACGGTCAACTGTCAGAGTTGACCGCCACGTCAATCAAAGTTAACGGAGGTTAACGGAGAGTGACCGAACTTGAACTGTTCAACTAATTCGAGTGACTATAAATGGAATAAATTAATTTGAGTGGCAAACGTGAAATTTTATAGCAATTCGAGTGACCAAACTAGCAATTCGAGTGGTTTACTTTGAATATTTTTTTTTTAAAGATGTGTTCATTTAGATAAACGATTAGGCCAAGCCCACAAAGGGAAGTGTACAAGCAAACCAGTAGAAAAGGAATGAAAAGAAACCCAAAAAAAGAGGCCCAAAAGAAAACCCCGAGAGCCTAATAGGGTTCAGGCCCAGAGCCAAAACAAATCTGGGTCTCTCCCAAACCCTAACCGCAATGTGCCCCCTCTAAAGCTCCTCCACCGCCGCGGCTGTGCTCCGCCCCGCACCTGACCCGTCGCCGCCACCAACCCGAATCAAGCCATGGAACATGCACCGAGGAGATGCTGCTTCAAAGTGGAACATGCTTGCTGCTTCAAAGTGGTTTACTTTGAAGCAGCAGCTGATTCTTGCAGATGTTTGCGCCGAGGGCGATTTAGCGATGGGTAGGCTTGATGTTACGAAAGAAAAATAAGTTGTCAAACTACTTTATACCGGTATAGTAAATGGTAGGATTTAATCGAGGGCAATACTTTGGCGGCTGTCTAGGTTGCAGCCCAGCGCTGCTACCCATTGACGTGGCCACATATTATTGGTTCAAACATGTTAATTAATTATTTAACTTAATTGGACTATGATGGGGACGGAAACCGGACGGAAACTGGCTCTTTTCTTAGACGGGGAGAAGCACCCCAAACAATGATGCCTCTTAAGTTTTATTGTATTATATTATAACTAGCGTGGGCCCCGGCCATTTGGCCGGAGGAAGGTGAGGTATAAAATTTGATAATGTAATGGGGTGTATAGCTTATTGTTGTATAGTTTTTTTGGGAAACACGTGATAAAAATATTGAATTTTAGTAGGAAAGAGACATGAATGATGCAACGAATCAAAAATCAGCCTTATGAACCAAAATCAAGTACCTGTTACCTTGTGAAACAATATTTTTTCTGGTAATATGATGAGGTGGAGTAAGTTTTATAGAAATCGAATTCCAGAAAATCGAATAAAAAATCGCCTATCCCACCGGTTTTCGGGAAATGAGCATCTCACAATCGTTGCTAGTTTTTACTCGGCCCGTTGGCCGATTAATTTGCTTTATAAAACTTTCATCTTGTCATCATTGTGCTTTCTGGTTTTTTGCCAAGCCATGATAAAATCTAAAGAAATCAAGAATGAACAACACGATTTGGGATAGGAACCACCGTTTCTGTATCCCTAGAAAATGGTGGTAAACACGGACTCACCTGCCAAACTGGTTTGGATTGAGATTTTTATCGGGTATCAGGGAACCATGTGATTATAAATTAGACTTGATCAAAACGGGCCAAAACTTGAAATTCAACCTGTTTTGGCCGACCCATGCCAAACTTTAATTATTCTTTACTTTTAAACTTTCTATTTGAAAATAAAAAATAATGAAAGAAAAGAGATGACTGCAATTCATCATTTGCACATCACTGATCCAGGAATAAAACTATAGAATTTCGAAAGGAAACTGAAAATGTTTAGGATCATTTTAATGTTAAAAAGAACCAAATAGATCTTTCTGTTTAGTTTTTTACTAACAAATACCAAACGATTCCCTATAATATATACTATAATTTAATCATTATGATATCAAATAATTACATAATATATATTTGAAATGATAAAAATTGGACTTAGTGGGTTGGTCGAGGTTGAACAATTGAATAACTTTAAAATACATTATATTTTAGCCACTAAGATATAAAATAATAGCATAATATATATTATGCTAGAGAAAGTAGCTTGTTTTAGAATGACAAACACATAATGTTCATTTGTTCTACTTGATGGGCAAATCCCGTGTAAGTCAGGCCCATTCAACTCTTTTATTTTATGATTAGCGGTTAGCCCATTAGAATCCATGAATTAGTTTATTGTTAATTTTTTTTCTTTTTAGCAATAAAAAGGAGTATTGTTTTTGCCTTTTCATATATATTTTACCACCATGGAGAAATGAAAGGACTTAAAGAAAAAAATTGACACTCCTGGACCCGTTTAAATCCGCACTTGTACGGTAAGTTGGCCCGTTCTACAGAGGAAAATGAAAACAATTGACACTCTCTATTCTACCCTTCCTACAAACGCTCATGGAGCAGGGAATTTGAAATGGGGAAATGGTTTTTTCCTCTCTGCGATTATATATTTTTAATTTAAAAAGATACAACAAATGTACTTTGTGTGATTGGTTATGATATTTGTTTTTCTTTAAAGTGGTCATGGTTCGAATTCTAGTAAGTGTCTTTTTAATGAATAAAAAAAAGTAATTGTGAATACCAAAATGTCCTTCCTACTTTCACGGATGCAGGAAATTTGAAATGAGGCTTCAAGTTTTCTCATTTGGCTTTTATTTATTGTGTAGATTGTGATATATGTTTATTAATTGAACAGTGAAATAATAATAAAATTAAACACTCCCATTCCATGCTTTACTTGCTTTTCAACATAGTTAATAAATATTTCGCTTAATACACATATATGTGCCCGTACATACTTTATCCATTTAAAACTTTCATATTCGTATAATTGTCAAGCCATTTTATTTTTGTCCTTCATTTAATGGATCTCGTACTAAATATATATAAAACCAATATAACACGTTTAATATCCGTAGTTAATGAATTAATTTGTTAAATTTACTATTTTTTTATATATTTGTTTATTTTTTAAATAATTATTTTTATATATTTATTACTATTAAACGTAACATTAACATAGAGACGAAGTAAAATACCCGTACGTATTTTTTTTGTAACTTTCCCATATCATATTTT